TCAGAGCACCAGTGGAAATATATTTTCTTTGCTTCTTAGCAGTGCTCAGACCAAGGGATGATTGAAACCACAGAATCAACACAATTAGTATTCTTCAAAAATAATATCCTTTAGTGTGTTATTACATAACTCACCAAGCAAATCATCAGAAGTGTGAGTATAACTATTTGAGCCTCTCAACATAATACCTGTTCTCTGTTCATGATTTACCCTTCTTAGGCTGTTTCTTCCTGGTCTCCATATTGAAGGGGTTTTTTGAACTAAGACTATGTTTCTATCTCATGATCAAGGTTAACGTGGGGATAAATGCCTGTCAGGAAGAATGACTGACATGAATAAAGGTATAGAAATGGAAATTACCCCTGTAATGGGGAAGCAAAACTCAAAACTCATGATGTACCCAAGCTGGAGGAAGCAAGTGATGTACCTTCTCAAATTCCGAGAGAACTGTCAGATGAAATGACAGTCCGCTAGCAAAAATCTTTAATAGAGCTATTGAGTCAGTGGTTCTGTTTGACTGGAGAATATTGAGTGTAGTGCCCTTCTTCAAGAAAAAACTACATGGGCAACTGTTGTCTCAGATAATCTTACTATTATTCAAGGCTTTAGAACATTTCTTGAAGAAAATAATTTGGAAATTATATTAAATGTAAATAGGATCATATGAAAATAGATTTACCAAGGTAGGTCATGGCAAATTAATAAGATAGTTTTGTGTAATATAAACAATCTTATACACAGCAGGAATGTAGCTGGTCAGTCTGTCTGGAAATCAGTAAAACAAAAGTTGCAATGCTGTTTGGATGTGTATTAGTTAAACTAAGTCAGATAGCAATTATTACAGAAATTGTAGTACACATAAGAAAGTGATCAGGGGAGAGGTGGCAATGGTTGCTTATATCAGTGGCAAAACCTTTTTGACATAGGAGTTTTTTGTGTCAGTCTAAAGGCTGATCTTTTATGATTTGCCATTACTCATCATGTCACCAAAAAAAAATACAAGTGTGCTAATGAAGTTTACTGATGAGTTAGCAAGCATTATAAATATATTGGAAAACTGGGAAATGAGGGTGAACTGGGGACCTTGAGGACAAAAGCACTGGAGAGGGGATGGTGGAGTTTAATAGAAGAAAGTACACGATCTTACCATCACTGCCTTTTAGCAATGCATAGTATGCATATTAGTTGCTAGCTAGGAGACCAAGAGGTTGCATGGTATGCTGGTTGGCAATGTAGTCCTTTGATCCCTGCATTCTCAGGGGCTATTATCGCTGTTCATGAAGCCCCAGGTCTTTACGTAAACAAGATTTCACAGTGGTGAGGAGAATAAAGCATAACTGGTTAATTGAAGCAAGTTGCACTGATTCCATCTTTGTTAATTTACCTGACATGCAGCCTTCTTCCAGATAGTCTCTTCTGTTTCTCCTGGCTGTACATACAATCTTGTGCTAATCTAAAGCTGAGTAAAAGGTAGATGTTTTGACAGCAGAAAATAATCGTGCATCTCGGTGTGTGCTTTGCAGTATTTAGATTACTCCTTTGAACTGCCTGAAGTCATTACAACACAATGCAAGCAAGAATAGAATAGATCCCTGAGTGGTACAGTATATGTACTGAAAACACGTTGTGCGATCAAAATATCTTTGCATAAAAGCAGCAGAGGTTTCTGTTAGCATTGTTGATGTGATAAATAAGCAGCTAATTAAGTATTCCAAATTACGTAGAACATGCCTTTAATGGCTGAAAGGCAGTCCTTCCATGTTTAGTTCCTTGCAGACTGTTAAAAATGGTGCTTTCAAGCCCAACCTTCATTATGTATCTAGGAGTGATTTATTCTTTCTTGGCTTATGTCTATGAATTTGTTCTTAGTAAACATACTGTCAGGAAAATTGGAGAAAAAAGACACAGAGGAATTCTAGTGGCTGGTATTGAAGTTAAAAGTATCCTCCTCAGATTATTTTGCAATCATCTCTTTAGAATAGAGGCACTCTTCCAAGATAGAAGAAAAGAGAGGGAAAAAAAACCCTTCAAAAATCTTCAAACAGTCTCTCTACTTATTTAAACTGCCATTGCTATTTTTGTAGGAACAGAACATAGACAAAAGCTGTTGCTGTGTTGTGGATGACTAACAGAGACAATAGTGAACTCATTTCTGTTGCTTTAGTGTCAGTTAATATTTATTCTAGATACACAGATTACAGTCTTAATTATCACTTTTTTTTCTCCCCCTCTGGGGGTGTGTATGTATATAATTGTTGTCGTTAGTACCCACTTCTTCCGGTTCTTCCCAGAGGTTTATCAGTAGCTGTCTACCTAAATGTGACATTTTTTGGTTGGTAGTCACTCACTACACTTTGGGATATATTTTATCCCTTCTTTGTGTGTGCTGAATAGCATGGTAGGGTGAATTGAATCTTGACATTTTGAAGTGAAATAGGCTTGTTTTCTTTTTCAAATCCCTGAAGTTGTTTAGTGAAATGCTGCAGTCTAGGCTTTTTTTTTTATTGATATATAAATAGAAAGAAGATTAGTTTTGAAAACACAATGGCTGCTTACAGACTACAAAACGGTGGAAAAAAGGGACGAGCATACCTTGATGTCAGTAACAGTTTTCTGGGGGTGGGGGCTGGAGGGGAGGAGGGGAGAAAGGAGAAAGAGGAAGATTCAGACATGAAGGGAGATGGCTCTCAGACTAGTAACTGCATCGGTGAAGTGTGCCAAATGAAAGGTGTTGTGGTAAGAAAGGTCAGTCCTCTGTAGTTCACTTAAAACTTGTCTAAAGCTGTATTTGCACCTGATTCGGAGCAGTGATTGGCTTGGAAGTTCCATATCTATACATCATCTTCAACCTATTATTCCATGTATGCTGATTTATTCTTTTCAACATTGTTTCATCCTAAGTTACTTTCATTTCTTTGAATTCCCTCAGTTCTTTGTGATCTGTAATGCTCAGGTCTAGTAATGTAGATAGCCATAGTATTCAAGAAGATTATATGAAAACTTCAAAAGATATCTAATTTCTGAGGTCGCTTGTACCTGTACCGCTTGTAACTTTACTGCTGCTTTTATGGAGTGGTTTCTCTGCTCTTATTGACCCAAATATTGCCCAGTTAAATGATTACGGTTGGTTGAATTTGCTTGTCAATTAGATAAGCATACTAGCCAAAAGAGCAAAATACGACAAGTATTCTCAAATGCTGAGTGTTGTAGCATTCAGAGAACTGAGATGCAGCATCCATTAAAGACTGAAATGTGGTAAGAGCTTTATGTACCAAACCATCACAGTTGTAGTCATTTGTCAAGGAAATACATTTTGGTACTATCTGAAAGAGGCAAAATTAAATTTTTCAACACAACAGTTCTATACTGTTCAATTAGCTTTATCTACCTAAGTTCATCCATCACAGACATGCAAACATTCACACCATGTATAAACAACCTAAACACAGCATACATGAATAAGACTTTACTGGCAAGAGGTTTTTTGCAAATTTTTCAGCTTTCAACTAGCTTCCAGGCACCTTAGAAAACTACAAAATCCCAGGAACCTTAGAAACACCTAGAGATAAAAGAAAAACATGTTTGCATTAGAAGAGGCCGCTGATGAAAAACTTTGTCTGTGTCACTCTCTACAGCAAATCTATGTCCACTCCAACCATCACAGCTTCAATTCACACCCTTCTCAGGATAAAGCAGTGAACTGATGTACAGTACAACTGCACATTCATAACAAATCAAGAGGAATTTTTTGTTTATATCTGTACTGACACAAATCAGCTCTGAAAGTGTTAATACCATGTCTCTGATTCTCCCAGTCTTTTGAGATACAACCAATTAAATCATAGGGCTTCCAATATTTCTGAACAATAAATAAGTACTTGTAACTTATCTGTTGCAATGATAAATGTCTACATTAGCCTTGCTGGAATATAAACACTCCCTTCAGAGCTTTCTGTGCATTTCACACCAAGACTTTAGATTTGTAAATCATCTGTTCTAAAAGGAATATGAGAGAGTGTGTGGAGAGTTTTGTTCAATTCCTAAAAATTCTAAAAGATTTGATAAATGGACTGAATGAATAATTCAGTATTGTAAGGAAAGTTCAATAAACTATAGCTATTATAAAAGCAAATTTTCTCATAAAGGATTTAAGGTACTGACTCCTGAGATGTGTCGAGCATTTACACACATAGCTCCCACTCACACAGTTACTAATGCAAGATTTTCACTCATTATCCCTAAATGTCAATGGCAGAGCAGATTCACAGTTTTTTAATAGACTTTTGTGAAAGAAAATACGATTTACAATACAGTAATGTCCTAGAGCGCATTTAAGTTTATGAAATGCATTCATTCACTGGGAAAGATTTTAAATGTAAGCCCTAAGCACCATCAAATTAAACATATAATGGTAAAGTCAGTTAACTGTCTATTTCCATATAATGTGAGTTTATATTTGGAAAAGCTCGGTTAAGAGGATATACAACAGAAATACAAGAAGTTGTCTTACATTATATTGCCATGTACCATTAGTCTGGTAATGCAAAAAAATGCATGTACACTGATCTATATTATACATACGTATGAAAATAATTTCACACATCAGAAAAAAAGACATTTTTAGCTGTGATCTAGACTGCCAAAAATTAATGCCTCTGTTTATTCAGCTAGCTTTCATATTTAATTGCCTACCTAGTCATCTGTGGACATAATGTTGGCATACTCTGTATAATATGATACAGTCTCATTTTAGATGTATAATGAACTTCGGTTTCCTAAGTGGAGTTTATATTAGGTGACATTTTCCTTGTTGAGAATATTGCATTTCTTTGAGAAGAAGCTTTATGGAAAAAGATTAGAAATCTAAGTTAGTTTTCTCAGTTTCAGCAAAACATTTGCAATGGCTTACAGTTAGAAGGCAAGATGAATGTTTTGATGATAGATTCCCACAGACTAGGCCATGCAGACGCTATCAGTAAGAATTCTGTAATTTCTTGAACTCTGTGATTTCTGTTGACTGTACCTCAAAAGAGTGGCACAATTAGAGTCAAGATCTTATTGAATGCTTCAGGAAATAAGACAGGCTTTTGTTGATGCTGTTTAAATTAGGACAAAAAAAAACCCACAAGCCTTTGTGTTAATTAGGATCCACCAGACTCTTCTTCATAAATTTCACCTCAGCATTTAGAGTGCAAATGTCGAAACAAACCTTCAACATCATTCACAGATAGGAGCATTTCAAGCGGAACCTTCAAACTGGATGTTTTATTCACAGTTGCCTTTGTCTCTTCCGAAGACCATTCTCAAAGATGTTAAAGGTCTCTCGATTAAAGCGTGTCACTTAGAAGAGCATGAAAATGCCAAGGATTTAATTATTGCTGTTCCATTGCCACAGCAATTGTTGAGTATTTAATTTCTCTCTTAAAAGTAGGGCAGGAGGAAAAAACAACTGATAAGTGCGTCCAGTATGTTTTTTCTCTTCTTCTTCTTCCATGAAGCTACATAAAAGTCCTGACTGAGTAAAACAACGAGTGTTGGTTTCTCTAGCTTGTTGTAGCATGATCAGGGGAAGTTTATGGAGAGGGAGGGCCAAGCAAAGCCCAGGCAAAATAATTGCAGATGACTTTTGTGATACACAGAGCAAACCTCATGACAAAATTCCCTAAGAGCCTAATGAGAACATTGGTAGTTTTCATATTTGAAGTCTACTAGACAAACCCTGGGGGCAGATTCAGATGGCAAACAAACAAAAGCAGCTCTGAATAGTTTACAGAAAACCTTGTGATCTCCGTGTCCACCACAGATATAAACCAGATTTTGACAAGCCCCTCACACTTAGGGAATTGACTTTTGACACAAGTAAGAAAACTGTGAGCATTCCCTGTATGTCTATTAGCTTTTCAAGTGAAGGTCTGGCTTTCCCATTTTCCCCTGTCTATGGAAAATTTGGTGCCCTGAGGATGTAATGGATTTTATGTCATTCTAGAGCTCCCAAGGGAAGAAGTCCCTGCCTCTTCTTGCTGTGGTAATGCTAAGCCAATGGAGCACACTAATTACATGTGAGGGCTACCAATATGTGCGTGTGCGCCTTCCTTCGATTTTCCTTGAAGGCCTTCTTGGCTTTCAATTTACCTGGAAGAGGAAAAGTTAACAGCATCGAGTCAAGCATTGCTATTTAGAATTCAGAGAGAAATATATTCTCCTGTCGTACAAGTTTCTCTCTTAATTTGCTCTTACAAAATCCAGCCCTTGTTGTTAGACCAGTTCAGGAACACAAAAGGCTTTCAGCCAGCTTCTCAAGGGTCTGCAGTGCAATCAATCTCATAACAAAGTGGAAGAATTCAAGCTAGAATAAAGTAGTGCAAGAATTCAACCTAGAAAGGGCAAATGTGCATTAGAGTCATGCAACTCTAAACTGCTCTTAATTTGGCCAGTCTTTATTCAAAAAAGATTATGAAAAGGGGAGAGAAATTTCAGACTCAGGCACAGAAAAATGTACGTGAGCGAGGACTAAAAGATTGGGCATTAACCTTTTAAAGAAAAAGATAAAAATAGGCACAGTAAAAGTAAACAGATCAATAAATTGTAGATCATATCAGGAATTTTTATTCTTTATAAGTCAGCTAATATAAGAATAAAGGGAACAGGTTTTTAATTTAACTTGCATTTAAAATAGAAGGGAAAACTTTAATATAATGCATAATTAGACTGAAACTGATTGTCACCACGTGCTGCTAGGGCTAAGATTATAGTAATATGCAAAGGTGAACTGGACATCTCTGTGGATTTGAAGAATATGCAGAGGTACAATTGCTAAAATTCAGGTTGAAATACTGCTGAAAAGCATTTTGGAAGGCATGTAAAGCTTGGTATTTTGAAATTTAGAACAATCTCTTGCCATTAGGGAATTGGAAACTGTTTTTTCCACATCTGTATTTTACGATATCTCTTGTACTTCCATAAAACATCCAGAACTTCACAGAAACAGGATATAAATTGGGCTCAGGTCTAATCTAGTATGGCAATTCTTACATTATGATTAATGAGGTTCCCTTTATCAACAGCTGTGATTCTGACCTTTGTGGCTCTGCTGCTTATCTCCTGATGTATACATTTTCATAACCTGCATCTCATTTTGAATATAATAAAAATCTAAATAACTTTCATTCAATTGCTATCACTTTTTTTTTTAAATATTTGCTCTTAACAGGAACATTCAAATCATTTGTTCACAGAATCTCAGACTGTACATGAACAGCACTCTTAAAGCATAATACTACTATTAAGATTTTTTTATATGCAGACACCCATTATGAAAGAGAAAATATCCTCTGACATTTAGGAGAGAAATAATGTGCTCACACTAACCTTCCCTGCATCTAAGACTTGAATTCCTGCTTTGGAGACCCAATTTATAAATGTACATCTCTCTTATTTAGTATTGTGACAGGGTTAGATATATTCAGAGATTCCTTTCCTGGTTTGTGATGCTAGTGTGATTCAGGACATGTTAGCTTGATGTGTTATAAAATGAGCCAGTTTATCTTTAGTTTAGCCTGTGATCAGTGGGGAGAGTGCTTTTCCTTTGGGAGCTGAATGCAAAATAACTGAAGCAGATTGAAGTTGGCAGTGACTAATGAAGTCTTGTGAAGGAGTCAGGAGTCAGTGGGTTACTACATAGGATGGATTGAGAAGAGAGTAACAGCAGCCTCTTTGTTGAGTTTTTGCTGTCTCTTTTTTTCTTTTATTTTGGCATTATGAGTGCTTCTGTGAAGAGAATCTCCTCAAAAAAATTAAAAATCCCTAATGTATGTCTCTGAAACACACACATTCGCACACACATTTGTTACAGTGGAGATAATTCTAGGCTTCCATGTTTAATGAGCCAGTGTGGTTGCCTAAAGGTGTTCTACATGTTAATAATTTTAATCAGTCACACGGAATTTATGGAGCTAGAATTCCAATTGAAATTAGCATGACTTAAAACCGCAGTCATTTATTTCTCTGAGAGCTCCCCCTACTTTGCCAGTTTGATAATATGCCCTGTTGTCACAGACTCTGGCACAATAAATCAGTTGTAACGCAGATGCCACCAAGCAGCCTGCTATGGGACTCTTACGCAGAGCATAACTACTGTGAGTAGAAAGCCCTCCAGTTGTTTCTGCATTTGCTATATGTGTAAAATCTGTGAGCATGGAGCGAAGGTCGAAGGAGCAGGAGGAGGAGGAGGAGTATGCCAGCCTGGCCTCGAAGGGGCTGGGGAAGTGGCAGAGACAATGCCAGCCAAGCCCCTGCCTCCAGCCTGACGGCTGGCCCAGGTCAGGAATCACTGCAAACTGCTTCTGCATTAAACCCATGATTAAATGATTTGAATGACTGCCTAACCTCAACTGGATGTAAAGCAGGATGAAGGAGGTCGAACAGTGAGAAGGGGAACATACCCTCCTTTAGGCAATTTTTGGAGAGTTTAGCTGGGCTCTGTGCTACAGGTAGCACTGCCACAAAGTCACAGCCTAGATCCTTATTACTGGAGTTTTTCAGCATTGCTGCAGCAATTCAGAAAACTGCTGTGGTGTTACAGTATTTTTATTCCTGAAGTATTTGTTCATTGAAGCATTTTGTTAAACAAAGTCTTTGAGACTTTTTTTAGACTTTTTATCATTCAGACTCAAAATAATCAGGGGATTTTGACTGAAACATTGTGAAGCAAACTGGTTCAAGCTCTCTGCAGTCTGTCCCAGCCTGTGCACACAGAGAGCAACAAGATTTGTGTTTTCCACCTCATTAAACTGACAGCAGAAATTAGTTTGTGGTATTAAAAACTAAAAAGTTAAATTACAGCTACACGTGTCCTTTATGCAGTGGGGTGTGTGAAAGATGTTTGATTTTAATGTTTGCTATAATGGAGAATTTAAATTGCAGTGTTTGTCAAATCTCTAATCTTTGTTTCAGAGTGGAATATTAATTACGCTTTTAACTATGAGAGGTAAATAAAATGAGCATCCACTGCCTGCCTAAGGGTAAATTGCAGATTACTGACAACGTGACGTGGCGTACTAAATGTCAGTTTTGTCAAACAAATTTAGAGGAACAGTTAAACTATTAGCTTCCTGTTGTTACAGGGGTTTTTTTGCAGTGAATGACTGTTCCTAGCAGCAGGGGCACTGTACCATATGGAACACTAACAGAGCTAAATTGAATAAGCGAGATGAATGAGGAGATAGCACTACAGACGCACTCAATTAGTTTATAACTGTCTATTAACTTCTGTTGGTGGTTTTGAATAAACAATAGATTAACCATTACACCCCTTCTTTTTCCTTCTGAAACCAGTGGAAAGACAGTGTGATGATGGCACACAGCAAAGAAGAAACTGAGCAGGTCCTTTTTTTTTTTTTTTTTACCTCCTGCTTCTTAATGACTCGACTTGCGTGGTGTCAGCAAGTACCTGCAAGTAATAAAATGCATTATTTTCAAGAAGCAGACCAAAATATTTCAGATGTGGTTATGCATGCAAATATAGTTCTTTGAATACAGTTACCAGGAGTTACTCTGCCTGTTTCTTAGGACCTGGTTTAGTAGCAGGGAAGCACTGGTATTGCATGTGCACTTAAACCAGTCATGGCAATTTATTTGGCAGTTAAAGAAAAAGTGTTGTGACTGGTGCTGAAATAAAAACATAGTTAATATGTCTGCCTATCTTTCTGTGCCCCAAACCACTTTTGCCTCAGACTACTTGTAGCAGTTAAGAACTGATGCGTTAGTATGCCCCAACTAGGAAAATTTAAAACATATTTGATTTTGTGTACCTGATTATGTCCTACTAAAGTCATTAGGCTCAGATTATTTCCATCTAGCTTAAATCCTAAATAAATATATATAATACAAAATATTACTATCCTTCGCCTCCATTTCAAGACATTTAAGATGAGGACCTCCAGAGAGCACTGAGCTTACCTCATATTCTATTGTGATATTTTTGCTTATTGTTATTTAATTTAAGATTTTTT